GGGTACGATTCGGAAATTGCGGGCTAAAACTAATCTGCGAAACGAAAAACATAGCCAACAGACAGTTGGAAAAGAATCAACGAACGCAATTAAACAGAAAGAAAATCTCTTGTTTTTTTGTTTAGAAAATCTCAACTTTAGAACTTCAAATTAAGCTACAGATGGCCGTAAAGCTCTTTTAATTTCTGGAACAAATGATGATTGTGAATTTTTGATAAAATTAACCATATTTCAGAAAATGGGCTCAATATGTAATTTTTCAATTCCTCTTAAATATAGCAATGAATTCATATAATTATTAAAAATCAACGAATTGGATCAATAAAAATTTTTTATTCAGTTGAATAAGGCGTTGTTTTTTGCGTCGTTAATTTTAATGTTTTGCAATTGGTTGCATATCAAATGCTGAAGACGATGCTGTTAATTGTTCCGACTTTCGATAGGAAAGTAACGAAATATTTGTGCTCGGGTTGGGTTTTTTTCCTCAGGCAAATTTCGACTTTTTACCTAGCCATTTTTTGACGGAGTTTTTTTATATCATTCGAAAGGTATTGTTGTCCTGAGCTTAAATTTGAAAAGATATTTCACCTGTGATCATTTTTCGTAAAGTTATGAGGGTTTAAAGATTGCCATTTTGTCATTTTGGCCCATTTGGGACATTTAACGCCGGATATGTTTCGCGCTATTGACGCGTAAGCGAGATTTAATCCGTCTTAGAATTGTTCCAAATTGTTTCAAGGAAGATTAGATGCCATAATTAGTTTGTTAAAAAGAGCAAAAGCTATAAATTTGTACTTAATATGGCGCGTGGGTGGATGTTTTCACAAAAAACCTCAAACTTTTTAGAAAAAAAAATTTAATTTTTTTAATTATATTTAAATTTTCCATGCTATTACTGATCCTTAGACCTTGAAAAGCATCGGAACGTTTAAAGTTTTGCCTTGATACGACGAATCTGGTTGTTTCGACTTATTTCATTCGAAAGGTAGTGCTATACTGAGCTTAAATTTGAAAAGATATTTCATCTGTGATCAATTTTTGTAAAAGTTAAGGGGGTTTAATGACCGCTATTTTGGCCAATTTGGGACAATTAACTCGCGATATGTTTCGTGCTATTAACGCGTGAGCGGAGATTTTATCCGTTTTGGAAATCGTTCCAAATTGATTGAAAGAGCTTATTTGCCTTAATTGATTTGTTAAAAGGAGCAAGGCTCTGCGGTGAAAGGAGCAGTGTTGTTGTTCCGACTTTTTAACTAGCCATTTTTGACAAAATTTTTAAAAATCATTCAAAAGGTATTGTTGTCTTGAGCTTAAACTTGAAAAGATATTTCACCTGTGATCATTTTTCGTAAAGTGATGGGGGTTTAAAGATTGCCATTTTGGCCAATTCGGGACAATAAACGCTCGATATGTTTCGCGCTATTAACGCGTAAGCGAAGATTTAATCTGTCTTGAAATCGTTCCAAATTGGTTGAAAAAAGCTTATTTTCGCCATAATTGATTTGTTACAATGAGCGAAATCTATTCTATTGAATTTTATATGGCGTGTGGGGGGATAATTTCATTAAAAATTTTCAAATTTTAGAAAATTTTTAATCATTTTATTTCATTATATTTATTTTTTTATGTTACAACTGCTCGATAAACCTTAAGAGGCATTCGGAACAATCAGGGCTTCGCCCTGTTACCAACAGTCTTGTTGTTCCGACTTTCGATACGAAAGTAACGGAATATTTGTGCTCGGGGTGGGTTTTTTTTCTTCAGACAAATTTCGACTTTTTAACTAGCCATTTTTGACGGAATTTTTTTATCATTCAAAAGGTATTGTTGTCTTGAACCTAAATTTGAAAAAATATTTCACTTGTGATCATTTTTCGTAAAGTTATGGGGGTTTAAAGGTTGCCATTTTGGCCAATTTGGGACAATTAACGAGCGATATAATTCGCTATTTATTAACGCGTAAGCGGAGATTTAATCCGTCATATAAATCGTTCCAAATTGGTTGAACGAAGCTTATTTGCCATAATTTATTTGTTACAAGGAACGAAATTTCTCTTTTTGTACTATATATGGCGTGTGGGGGGATGATTTTCATTAAAAATTTCAAATTTTAGAAAAAAAATGTTCATTTTATTTTATTTCATTTAATTTTTTTATGTTATTACTGCTGCTCCATTAACCCTAAAAAGCAGTCGGAACATTCAGGGCTTCGCCCTGATACGAGCAGTCTTGTTTATTTATGGGCATGAAAGTTTAAGTGAGTTTATTTTATAACCACGCTTCTATATTAAGATAATGAGGCGTTTGTAATTGTTCCGACTTTCGATACGAAGGTAACGAAATATTTGTGCTCGGGTTGGGTTTTTTTCTTCAGACAAATTTCGACTTTTTAACTAGCATTTTTTGACAAAATTTTTTTAAATATCATTCGAAATTTATTGTTGTCTTGAGCTTAAATTTGAAAAGATATTTCGGCTCTTTTTCCTCTTCCCCCCCACCTCAGATAAGCGTCAATTTTATGGTGTAACGAGGGGTTTTACAAGGTTAATTATTAGGACTAAAAATGTTTGTCATGGACTAATTAGTTCGCATGCCAATTTTCGTAACATTCGGATAAAGTGGACAAAACTTCACTAGTAAAGTTTTGCAGGTGGGGGGGAAAAGGAAAAAGAGACGATATTTCATCTGTGATCAATTTTTGTAAAAGTAATGGGGGTTTAAAGACCGCTTTTTTGGCCAATTTGGGACAATTAACTCGCGATATGTTTTGTGCTATTAAAGCGTAAGCGGAGATTTAATCCGTCTTAGAAACCGTTTCAAATTGGCTGAAAGAAGCTTATTTGCCACAATTGATTTGTTACAAGGAGCGAAATTTATCCGTTGGTATTTAATATGGCAGTGGGGGGATGAGTTTCAATAAAATTTTCAAGCTCGAGAATTTTTTTTCTTCTTTTTATTACATTATATTTTTTGTGGTTATTACTGCTCCATAAACCTTAAAAGGCAGTCAGAACATTCAGGGTTTCGCCCTGATACGAGCAGTCTTGTTACCTTTAATTTTTTTATAGGTTATTACTGCTCCATAAACATTAAAAGGCAGTCGGAACATTCAAGGGCTTCGTCCTGATACGAGCAGTCTTGTTGTTCTGACTTTCGATACGAAAGTAACGGAATATTTGTGCTCGGGGTGGGTTTTTTTTTCTTCAGACAAATTTCGACTTTTTAACTAGCCATTTTTGACGGATTTGTTTTATATCATTCGAAAACCATTGTTGTCCTGAACTTAAATTTGAAAAAATATTTCACCTGTGATCATTTTTCGTAAAGTTATGAGGGTTTAAAGATTGCCATTTTGGCCATTTTGACCAATTTGCGACAATTAACGCGCGATATAATTCGCGCTATTAACGCGTAAGCGGAGATTTAATCCGTCTTATAAATCGTTCCAAATTGGTTGAACGAAGCTTATTTGCCATAATTTATTTGTTACAAGGAACGAAATTTCTCTTTTTGTACTTTATATGGCGTGTGGGGGGATGATTTTCTCAAAAAATTTCAAATTTTGGAAAAAAGAATTTTCATTTTGTTTCATTTCATTTAATTTTAATGTTATTACTGCTGCTCCATAAACCTTAAAACGCAGTCGGAACATTCAGGACTTCGCCCTGATGCGAGCAGTCTTGTTATATTATATGTGCTGTGCGTTGCTCATATAGACATATAAAACCTACAAATTTATTCGAAATGGTAAAAGATTTATTTTGTTCATTTTCTGGAACGAAGTAGTTGCAGCAACGTTCTCAGTGAAAGAAAGATCAAATTTCAATTGGTTTTGTCACTTTTTCAGCTGAAGTTACCCCAAGAAATATAAAAATAGATCTCGAACTGCTGTTTATCGAATTGTTTTATACCAACTCCCTGAGTCAGTTTCAATTTAGTTGACGGTAATTGATTGCCCAAAGTAATGGAGAGGGAGACTTCTTTCTAAATCAGCCATAATGAGTACACATGACTTATTCAAGAATCAATTTTCTGAAATTTACCGTATTTAGTACAAATTGCTTATTTATTTGACCTCTGCTGCATTAATGGAATTCAAATTGGATTCAGAAACCTTCAATTTGAGGTAGATTAACTTCATGCGTGGGCAAAAATTGGACTTAATCTGTGAATCAAACAAAAAACCTGTAGGCTTCCTTTTACTAAAATGGTAAAAATTAGTGTTAATAAATCCATTAATGTGCCGAAAACCCCTCTGCCACCAAAAACCACTTAAGATATAATTGATTTTTCTGTTTGCAAAATGAAAATTGATCAGTTTTCTTCAACTACTCAGTGAAACTATTAAAAAATTTTACATCTACTGGAACTCACTTAACGGGCGGGAAAAGAATTAAAGCAATGTAGTTCGGCTTTCAAAATTTCCAGTTATTTGATACTATTTTATTAAGTCTATCAGTAAGAAGGAACATAGTATTTTGGTATCTTTTTTCATGCATTATCAGGCATCCTAAAGACAATGTGTGATACATGATTTTGAAAGCGTTTCACACGTAATTTGAATTGTCTTTTTCGATGAGTCATGAAAAATTTGTGTGTATATTTTGTGTTCTTGATTTTCAGACCAAATTCAAGCAAATATGAGCTCATAACAATCAAGTCCACTGGCTAATACGCCAAAAGTTTTCAATATTTTTTACGTTTTTGAAAACCTAAACTATGGAACTTAAGAGGAGTGCATACCCCAATTTAAAAAATGAGAAAATTTGAAAAAAAAACCAAACAAAAATAATTGAAATTTGTTGGTTTTTGGACTTTCTAAAAAAAATAGTCTGAACCAAGACCAGAAACTTTTGCGCTTCTAGCAAAGACCTGGAATATTATAGTTTTTTGGTTAAGATGAAAAAATAACTTTCGGGTTAGGATTTTTTTTGCTAAACTAAAACAAATGAAACCGATGAGAGAAAAATAACCTAAGTGTAATTAAATCTTTCACTCACCCGCTCGACTTGACCCCCCTACTAGTCCCCCTTCATCACGTGACCTTGCCTGATGCCTTCTGCTATCTTTTTCATTGTCGCCTTCTTTCAGACATATGTCGGGTGTTTCTTTTCTGGCCGCTTGGTGGCGACGGTAGTTGTCTGTCTGCTCTTGCATTGGGTTATTACCCTATGGCAAATGATTTTTTTGTGACTCCTTTACTACCCGCCTTAACCGGTTTTCACATTGAAATCATGTTTGTGGAACTACCAAGTATAACAAATTTAAGGAAAACGTGAGGGAACGAGCCCTTTTAAACCCCCCCCCCCCCCCTCAGTCCGGTCATTACTTTTGAACAATTTTAAACAAGTGTGAAGAAGGCACCTTTGTTCTTTAACAAAATGCCTCGTTCTTCTTAGTTTGATATTATATATTTATTATTGTGAAATTAGGGAATAAAAACTAAGGAATAAAATGTTAGAAAGCAAAATATAAAACAAGACTGCTCGTATCAGGGCGAAGCCCTGAATGTTCCGACTGCCTTTTAAGGTTTATGGAGCAGTAATAACATTTAAAAAAATTAAATGAAATAAAACAAAATGAAAATTTTTTTTTCTAAAATTTGAACTTTTTAAATAAAAATTATCCCCCCACACGCCATATAAAGTACAACAGGATAGATTTCGCTCCTTGTAACAAATCAATCATGGCAAATAAGCTTCTTTCAACCAATTTGGAACGATTTCTAAGACTGATTAACTCTCCGCTTACGCGTTAATAGCGCAAAATATATCGCGCGTTAATTGTCCCAAATTGGTCAAAATGACAATCTTTAAACCCCCATAACTTTACAAAAAATGATCAAAGGTAAAATATATTTTCAAATTTGAGCTCAGGACAACAATACTTTTCGAATGATATAAAAATTTTTTGTCAAAAATGGCTAGTTAAAAAGTCGAAATTTGTCTGAAGAAAAAAAACCCACCCCGAGCACAAATATTCCGTTATTTTCGTATCGAAAGTCGGAACAATAAACAAACCCTTTTAATTCAAAGCTTAAGTCCCTAAAAAAATTGAAAAATTAAGATTAGTTATTTATGAAACTTGACAGACTGTAGTAACGTCCATAATAAAATAATGAGTGCCTCTTTGGATGTTTGCACTAAGTTTTTTTGGAATCTTGATTTTAAGTTTTTGGATTTTTGGAGTTTTGGATTTAAATTTTTGGATTTTTGGAACTTTGGGTTAAGTTTTTGGGTTTTTGGAATTTTGGATTTCAGTTTTTGGATTGTTGTGCTAACTGATGATTGGATGATTCGGCACCCAACCATCATACAATTACTCACCTGTCTTCTGACTGTACTCCCTATGTTGTAGTAGCACACCCCCATCACCACACAAGTGGATGAGGCTACCAGAAAGTGCACCACATACATGTACACTCTGCTGCTAAGACGGGCTCCTAGAAAATTTAAAATTTTTTGTTAAATCATTTAGGTATTGAAAAAGAAATGGGGTTCCAGTCTCTTTTACCGTACAAACTTCATATTTTAGAAGCTAAAAGTTATTAAACCTGATAGCTTGCAATGGATTGGCTTTCGAATTAACCTGTAGGCTATGAAAAAAGCAGAGTTGTATTTCCAGTTTAAACGTCGAACTACTTTTCTCGTTATCAAAGTTTTATGTTGAAAAGTTTTTCATTTCCCATTTTCAAAAGTGTAAAATTTTTAAACATAATGGAGGATAATAATCTGTGACCTTCATTTTTGCTTAGCTCCCTTTTTTGCTCATGTCAATATTGCTATTTTTTGACTTGTCTGAAATTTAAGGTTCACGCTTACGTTTTTATGATTTTTTTGAGTTCGTTACTTACACGAAAATATCCAACTGCAAGTCCCTCAGAAAATTACGTACACAGTGTTTCCCAAGTTGACGTCCATACAAAACAAACGCTAACATACAATTTCATATTATGAACTCTATCGAAAAAAATGCTTATCATATACTTTTCATAAAAAAACTGTATGAAAAAACTTTTTCAATCAAAGTTTTTTTTCAAACCTTATCTTAAAGTGGCTTAAAATTAAAACTTAATCAGTACAAATTGATGGCAGTTTTGATTGCATGAGAGCAACTTTGGCATCGAAAAAAAAAATCTTTTTTTTTGAACAAAAAATATATATCATACAATTTCGTATATGAAAAGTGTATGATATGCATTTGTTCCATTGAAAAAATTTTCAATTTTAACGTGAAAAAGTTTGATGTTTTGCGTCTATAATGCAATCAAGGTAGAATTTTTCACCCAAAACTTCATAAAATACCAAGCAAATGTTTTTTTTTTTTTAAAAAACTTTTTTTTTTGTTTTTCAAATGCTAAGATAAACCTAAATATGTCAAAAAACAGATTTTTTTCGACCAAAATTTTTAAAGTACAATTGTGGCAACTGCCAACTACATTCTATGCTATGTTACATTAGAATTCCTTGTTCATTGTGTCTTAAGACAAAACACAAAAATTTAAAACATTTTTTTTGCATTTTCTTTCACAGAGAATAATTCTCATAGCGTATGGAAAAAGTGCTTAACATAAAACTTCATAGTATAAAAAATTGCTTTTGCGAATAAAAGTTTGGCAAAAAACATGTTTTATAATTCCAGAGTTTGACAAAAAAAGCTTGCTATAAAAGTCATAATATAGCAAAAGTGTTTATTTTGCTCTTTTCATACAATTTTTTAGATCTATGAAAATCTATGAAATTATATAACAACCATTTTTGTCAAAACGGCTTTTTGTAAAAACTGAAAAAGATCAACGACAAAAAATCGGAAGCAAATATTCAATAATATCAACTCAAAAGCAAAAAAATTCACCTACTTTTTAAAAATTGGAAAGAATTTTCCTGAAACGTTTTTTTGAACACAATTAATGATAAAAAGACCTCAATATGGAATTAATCTAGACGCACAGTAGCTGTAAAAAACAATCAACGTAAAATTTTCTTATCAGTCTTGGAGAGTAGTCTGAACAAAAAATGAGTGTGAATGAAGATAGCCTACCTACAAAGCCTTTCATAATTCATCCTCACAACAATTCCGACTGATACTGTGAAAAAGTTCAAAAATGTTACGGCAAGTTTCGACCTTACGTTTTGCACAAAGTATTTCGCGTGGTCATTGTTCCGACTTTTGATTGAATTGACGGAATATTTCTGCTCGGCTGGTTTTTTTTCTTTGCTGAATAAGATTACTTTGTAAGTTACATTGCGAGTGAAGTATGAACGTTTGAAAATAATTTAAAAATTTTTGAGCATTTTTCTTCTTTTTAGAAAATTTCATCCGTTTTCAGTACAACCACTCCTCCATATACCTCGAAGGAAGTCAGAACAATCAGATTATCTCGTTTAAAATTTAAATTCAGCTGATAAAATTCGCCAATTTTACTAAACAAGTTAACGCTCGAGCAATTACCCAGAATTGAAATAACATTAATGTCGAGTTAAAAAAAAATTGAAACGAAACACATTTTAATTTTAATCGAAATTGGCCAAACTTAGTAAAAAACGACGTACCGGTACTGACAAAAATTGGATTACAACCAACTTTATGCATACAATATAACAAAAACCTGAAAAAAACTGATTTGAATATATTCAAAATTGATGGAAAATCAATTTGATTTGGTACAAATGCATAAATTAAAGTTTTTTCAGTTGTTTTTTTTAGATTGCTGTTCGGTGTGGAAAAAAATCAAAGTTGCGAATTAAGGTTTCTTCAACAAAAAATAATGGAATTGAATTTTTTGATAATATGTTGAATGCCTAATAAAATTGCACCAAAAACGTTGATGTTGAGAATGGCGTTTCAAGAAAGTTCGCCAAATTTTACTTTTCATCACCACAGAACCCTTAGATTTGCATAAATTAGAAGTTCCCTAAAACCTAGAACTTTCTGATAGGAAATTATGCTCGAGTAACCCTAGCTCTCTGCAGCTCTAATGAAGACTTTTTTGGGCACAAAATTTTGCTCAATTTTTCTAAACAAAGCAATAGTTCAGCTAAAATATTTTCTTGAGATTTTGATAGGTTTCCATGTACAGCAAAATCCATTCAAATTGATTTACATCTACCGTAAAAATTGAATCACATCTACATTAAATATCAGTTTTAACCCATTCAAAACTGATTTACGTAAGGAAATGAGCTGCTTTAAATCAATTTTTTAAATATCATCTGTGAAAAAATCAATTAAATTGATTTCAATATCAAGTTTTCAGTTCGGGATAACGGATGGTCTTTGAAATCTTCAACAAATTACAATGAAAAATAGCCTGAAACTGAAAAAAAAAGACTTTCAATTAGATTTAAATTAGATATAAAGTATTCCAGGCAAGAAACAAAGAATTTCCTCGGTACGGGAAGATAGAAAATCTTCGAAAGACAAATATATTATTGTTGCGCTCAAAAAAAGTAAATCCTTTTTTGAGTAAACTAATTACTGTAATAGTAGGCGCATAATATTACGTTGTTGAAAATTTGAGGCAACTGGCCTGTGTTATGGACAAAAAGTATTGCAATCTAACAATTTTTGGTTACAAAATTTTTAATTTTGCCCAGAATTGTTATTGAGACCAAAGGTGGAAATGAAAAAATTTTTTAGTTATTTTTGAAATGTCAACTCTCTGTTATTTCTATGATCAGCTATTTGTTAGATTAGCTATTTCCATTAGCTCCCCTAAAATAAAAATATATGACTACTAATTTTAAATCAATTTGTTCGTTTGTTTTTTGGAAAACTCAAATTTTCTGCTTTCTGTTCTGCTGTTCTGCTTTAGAGTAGTTCACGATATTTGAAAGAAAATGCTTCAGAAAAAGTATATGGTAATACTGAAAACTTGTTCTTTTTCCAGAAATTTGAGTAGCTAAATATATTAAGGTCTGCGTCTATTATTATAGACTTAATTTGACATAAATTTGAAGTTTTTTAATCGATTCTTACAAATGATAGGGAAACAGAAAATAAGCCTAAGCCTTTAATGACAGTGATCTGACAAAATAATAAAAGTTCCAGACGACAACTGATTTTTTCTAAGAGCAGATTATTTGTAACTAAGAAAGCATCATGTACTTTGGCAGGAAAAGGGTTTAAAGGTGCAATTCCAGCTAGAGTTTTCACTAACCTGTGGCCTATTTAGAATAAAATCTTTTAGAGACAATTTTTTGCATGATACATCTAGCTTCGGTAAAATACATATAGCTGGCTAAATACATATAGCTGGGTAAAATACATACAGCTGGGTAAAATACATATAGCTTGGTTTTGACCCCAAAAATTAAACAAACTCGAAAATGTCTTGAAAACGCGTCCCTCCTCTTATGCTTCTACACCAATTGAGTTTATATTGCTTTTCTAGTCCCGGAGAGCTCTGCATTGTACCAGGGGAGACTAAGAGCATTGCTGATGGAAGATATTGGAACTGAATGCCGACTTCTTCATAATTGACAAGCACATTACCAACAACGTCGTCTTCCGCAAATTTTTACGATGCTGAAGATGAATGAAAATTCAAGGGCTTTTGCGCAAGTCTTAAAATTTGGAGTTACTGATACCAAATTTTCAATTCAACCCTCTCTTCTCCTGTCGAAGAATTCTGCGGCACCATTAATGATGTGACACATAAACTGGCAGAAAAGACCAGGTTCTAATTTAGATGTTAATGCGAGTTCTCAGACCGGGCCGAGGTGCTGTTTTTATGCCAAGACTTTCAAAGCCGAGCACAATGTCAAAACTCTACTGATATACTCGAGACGAGCGCAAACTCGAAACACATCAAAATCATAGTCAAAACATGTCAAAATTTGGTCGAGCATGGTCGGATCTTAACTCACGTATAGCCCAATTATACCTCGAGCACGATAGCCATAGTTATGCGGTAAAACAACGTAAATGTATGACAACTTTCATACAATGTCATACAATGTCAAATTTTCTACGCAAACTTAAACAGAATTTTCATAAGACGAAAAAACACTATCGAAAAAGTAGTTTATCTCTACAGAGCATTTGAAATATGACGCACTGACATTTTTTTATTTACTTTTGAATCCTGAATATTTGATTTTAATTTATTTTGGTTCTGAGAAAGTGTTAACAACATCGAGTAATTCAAGACCAGCGTTACAACATACATTTATACCATTATATTTTATAACAAGTTTATTTACATAACAATTTTTTCTGAAAAAGATGCTGTCCAAATTATATCAGCGTTTTTATTGGCATTTTTTTCATTTTCAGTTTTGCCTAAACTTTTGCATTTAAGTAATGAAAACAAACACATGGTTTGAAATCGACAATTGAAAAAATATAAGTTTTTGAGTACTTATGCCTTGGGTTCTTTTTTATTCAGACGAATTTCGACAATTAAAATGATAGTTTTTTGAAAAAATTGAAACCCTTTGT